TATGTTATCCCGTCAGGGCTGACATTAGGTGGTCTAAGTTACCCCATTTGGGGGCGGCGCCCCCATTTGCAAACTATGACACTTTCCTAAAATTAGTCATTTGCATATGTAACTAGAAGAGTTCTACTACAATGCATCAAAACCTGGAGTTATTTAACCAAAAAATAAAAAAAAATGGAGGGGGTACTCTGACAGGCTTTAAATGAAAGCTTTTTTTTTTGTGGGTCACATTTTTAATTTTTAACCTATTAGATATGCAAACTTTTCGAATCTTTCTATTGTGTTATGTAGCCTCAGTATTAGGCGTTTAATGCCCATTGACAAAATTTTTCTATGTCAAATAGTTTTTGAGTTGTGGTGGTTTTTGTTAAAAAAAACTAAAAGTGGTCTAAGTTACCCCACCGGTCTGAGTTACCCCACCGGTCTGAGTTACCCCATTTTATGGCACTGTCCTATAAGCAGTCATCTGAGGCATGGATTCATGGAATATATCTACTTAGCAGTTGGCAAGCCGCGACTGAATTTTTCAAGCCGTGGTTTTATGGATTTGCCAGCTGTGATTCCATTTCTTTGAGCCGTGATTCCATTTCACCGAGCCGTGAATTCCATATCTCGGCCATGAAAAGCCATTTACAAGGCACATATTTATTTACAAAGTCCATGCACATGTTACCCCAAATCTCTAATTTTACCCTAAAACAGTCAAATGGCAACGATAAAATTTGTCTTTACTGTAAGTTGAGCACGTGTTAATGCAGTCTGACCACTTTGACATAACAGCCACTACCGTATGTGCGATCTTCAACAAAACGTTTAGTTGATTTGTTTACATTACGATGCTTATGTTTTTTTCTGTAGGATATTTTGGTGGGAACGGTAAAGCAATGCGGATTGTGGAAGTTGAAAATTTTATTAAGTGATATGTTTGTGAAGTAAAGTGCAAACAGTGATTTTTTAATCAAACAAAAATTTATGACATTCAAGCAACAAGATTTCATACCTACTGAAATTATATGATATTAGAGCCATGATATTTCAGACAAAAATGGGACTTTTCCAGCCCTGCCTATAAGTAGACCAGAAAAGTATCATGGATACCAGCATTATCATATTTAATAAATTGGTTGAAATCTTGAGTGAATTAGGAAATTTGAAACAAACTGATTCTAAAAAATCTCTGGTTTGTCACTATACTGCCGTAGCAAGGGCAGTGGTGGTCTTTGGCAGGCAACCCATTGCCTGTTTTCTTTCCCATTTTCTGATCTACATTCAGATTTTATGCAAAATATGTATGAAAGAGCTTGTGCTCATAAAATAACCATGAACTTTCTGAATAAAAACTAAAATATTGGGCAAAAGCAAAGTTAGCTAACCAGTTACCAGCCTAACCCTACCCTGTCCCTGCAGGTCCCTGCCAGGCTGCCACCCATGCAAGTGTGGAAAAACATCTACCTTTAGGACCTTGACTGGCGTGTTCCTGCCATATCTGGAAGTTCTGGAACCGCAAGATTTCCACCAGTCATGATCAGGCCGCATGATCAGGTGGAAATCTTGATCAGGCTGCAAAGTGCATGATCAGGCCACAAGATTCAAATTGTATTATAAATTTGTCACATTGGAGCTGTCTGATTTCTGAAACAAGTAGGAAAACACCAATCCTGCACCCAGAGCTGGGCAGCGCTACTTGGAAATGTAGTGGCGCTACCGCTACCGCTACATGCTCTAAATGTAGCGGGCGCTACCGCTACACCCACTAGATTGTAACGGGCGCTACCGCTACAGTAAAATGTAGCGCGCTACATATTAGCCGCTACAATGGCCAAAATTATTGGAAATCTCTAAATATTTATTGTTCTGCTATTGGGATTTACTTATTAACATTTAATGATAATAAAACATTTTTAAAACATATCAATGCAACTTTATTGCAATTAACCTAACCGAACTAGTATGGGTTACCCCAGGGTTAGATACAGTAAATAAAAGTTACAGTTATTTTTATGTTTTACCTTCTCTACATGGATGTGAACTTTAATCTACCAATCTAAGAAATTATCCACATATACATATAAAAATCAGTCTTTTTTGTATATATACGTATGTGGATTATTTTTTGAGATTGGTAGATTAAAGTAGACATCCATGTAGGGAAATTGAAGCATAAAAATAACTGTGTAAAAATAACTGTAAGCAAATTGAAACATGAAAAAAACTGTAAGTGGTAACTCATAACTGGTAACAACTTAACAAGTAACAACTAACATGTTGACACTAGTAACAGGCTGAGGTTGACAACATTACACCGAAATCTTTCGTACAGTTTTATTCTGTAATTTATATTATGTATGTATCATGCTGGTTTTTAAATAATATTTAATACTATTAAGGGGACCGGCTACCCTAAAAATCAGAATTTTTGGCTTTCCTGTTTTCTTGACTCATTTTGTAGCTGCTGAAGTTTACCGCATGTCTGTGCATGCTATAATTTTTGCGTAAGACAATTTTAAAAATATATATATTTGAAAGCTACAAACAAGACGCGTTTAACAAAGCTACTACCATGGATGTTCATGCAATAGTTTTTGCGTAATGCAGTTGTAAAGTTATGTAAAATGAATATTTTATATATATATATATTTATAAATAAAAAGTCCCATTTATAGCCTATTATTCACGTTAAATTGAACATTGAACATTGAATTGAACCTTAATTGCCGTTTTCTATTAATTCCACGTTTTCTTTCATTTTTTAAAATTACATGAACAAAAAGGTCTTAGATTTCTGTTTTACATATGTGTACCAAGTTTCAAAACGATCCGTCTGTAAACAAAAAAGTTTTGTTGGAGGGTAGCTGGTCCCCTCAAGTAAAATCTAAAGGCTTTATCTATAAATGTAGCGGTAGCGCTGTAGTGGCAAAACCTCGTATCGCTACTTAAATATGTAGTGGGCGCTACCGCTACCGCTACATTGCCTTAAATGTAGAGCCGCTACTGCTACCGCTACTGAAAATGTAGCGGCCGCTACATGTAGCGCGCTACTGCCCACCTCTGCCTGCACCCATGGGGCGCATGCTGGATGCCAGCTTTTCCAAACTTCACATTTAATTCATATTTCTTTCCATAGGTAAGAAGTAAGAATGCTAAACTCTAAAGGGCATAACAGCCTATGAAATTAAGTGCTTAAAGCCAAAGCATTGGAGTGTCTACAGGCATAGCTTGAGCTTGCAGCTTGCTAAAGGTAACTTTGGTAAGCATGGCAATATGTACTGCATATGGCTGGACCTCTTCTGGCCTGAGTCCTGACCTCTCTGTCTGGACCTCTTCTGGCCTAAGTAGGTTAATTACTTTTCATTTTATGATGCCCAGTGCACAATTCTATCTATGCCGGTGCTATTATCTTATCAGCAAACATGCTTAAGCATTGACTGAAGATGTCACCAAAATTTAGTTCAAAATTTGGAAATGACCTATGATGCTTTAATTTTTTGATATGTGAAATTTTTTATGCTGAGCAAGGCATCAAAATTCTTTGTTGTTGATCAATTTTTTTTATAACTGCTAACTGAGGTTAAACTGTAGATGCATTTTTAGGGCTGTCCCTTATTACCCCGTCGCACGGAAATGGCTGCCTTTTTTGGGAATGAGATAGGCAAATTCCATCAGTCGCATTTCAAGCCAACTCTTGTGTGCAACTTTTAAGCAGGCAAAATTTTTTAATACATCAAATAGGTATATTTTTGCTCCAGACCTTAGTAGAGGTACTTTTCCAAAATTGATTTTTTTACACATTTTTTCAGCAATTTTTTAGAGATAGTAAATGTATGATTTCTTTACTGGCTTCATACATAATAGATAGTAAAAATGTTGAAGTGTATACCACTATTTTTAGTTTTGCTATATTTTGATTAGTTTAGCTGCTACAACATTTCTACAAAATGTGGGATGCACCTCTTGATTTACCTCACCCATCCCTTATTACCCTGTTTGATGGTACCTACTTCACTTTAACATTAATTACCTTGGGTTATTGCGTCACACTATAACCTCATGAGCAATGATTTCTGTCCTACATTCTGTTAACTGTAAATATATTTAGATGCCTTCTTTCTTACATATGCAATGAATATTTTACCATGCATTAATATAGATTGTTTCTTATTGAATGCAGTCTTTGAGTGCATAATTCTAAACTCAGAACAATTGTTTACAAATTATGAGAATCAAATAACCAAGTTTCTGGTCTCAAGGAGAGCCATGTCCATTTACAGCAACTCCGACCTCTCAATATTGTGGTGATGTTATAAAGGGTGAGGAGACTGAAGTCATTCACATGTGTGCGTGCCTGAGAACGTGTGCATCTTCATCGCTGGTGCATGTGCTTCTTTATTACTGGTGCATGTGCATCTTCATAGCTGGTTTCTTTCTCTAAGTTTATTGTTTCAATAGTTTTTTTTATCTCATTGTCTGTGAGTTAATTATTGGCCATCGCAAAAAGTACATGAAATGAGATGCAAGAACGCAGCAGAAATCTTGAGTACCTACTACCTCTGGAGCTTGTGGAACACTGATGCCATAAGTTTGACAGGCAATCAGTTTGTGGCCAATTTGCCAAATCACGGAGCAGCTTAATTGGTAAAAGTTTATTCGTAGTTGGCTAACTGACCTTTTTAATTATCAGATCCAATACCAAGAATAGATCTCGGTTAAAGGACTTCTATTAATGAGGTGTGTTGGCAAGAAACCTAGCTAGAAACTCCTATTTTTGTGCAATGCCACATGAAATGGGCCTCCTAACACTAAAAGATAAATCATCAAATAAAGTTTCAGATGCTATGCATTTTTATTTTTTAAAGTCTGTTGACTTGCAGTTATTTGTTGTAAGTTTGTTAGTTTGTTGTGACTAATTGGTAAGGAATTTGTGAGGCTCTTACAAAAAAGCTTTCTTAGTAGGCTTAAGGCTGTTGAACAATTTCTCAATACATTAATATTTTTCAGATGGTACATGTCAGTATATTTAATAATTAGTATTTATATTATGATAATAAGTCATGCGAGGGCAGAATTACGTCCAGCCACTTGATATCAATGGCAGCCCACCACTCAGTCCTGCCATAAATGCAGCTGAGGATTTTGCTGCTGAAAATGGACCTGAAGTTCCTGATGTTGACATTGTTGCACCTGCTGATAATGATGAACTCCTGTCTGACAGGTAATTTATAAAAGGTTATATTATTTGTAAGGGAAATTCATATAGATGCTAGAATTTAGTGGAAGTTCTATGGATTAATTTGTAGCCCTAGAATGAAGTGAGTTCTTTAACTTTTCTCTTTCCAATTCTTATTCATATCAGTTCTTTACTCGGGTGAAGTATAGCATCTAAAATAAACTTTGCAGTTGTATTCCTTTTTTTTATATGCAACAATAATTTATGTATGAAGTATAGCACTTATAGAATCATTCATAGAATACATCAAATATATACTTCTACAGAACATCCTGAAATTAGAATCATTGTTGAAGATACTATCTTATTACCATTCTTTTACCAGTACCTTCTAAGTTCACTTCACAATTTCCTCAACTGAAACTGTCTAATTCCTTCAGCAAAGGACAAATTTATTCCTTAGTAGACTTAGAATTTCTTGATGGAATCTTGAAGTCTTGGAATGTGACGTTATTAATGTTTATTAATGATTGTTATAAATTCTCTAATTTTGTGTTGGTATTTTTTATACATTCATGAGATCCTTGAACTGGATTATATGTAGTTAAACTGAGGTGCTGGCAGATATATTTTACATGCATTCTCTGAGGATGTGATTATATGACCCAAATTGATTTACTTGATTTTTCTATCAATTCTGGATAAGTTCTAAAAACACAACTGCATATCAAATTGATACTCGAGTATCTCAAACTAGTTAATTATCTCCCTTTAATGTTTAGGACTGGAATGTCTCTCAGCAACGGAGATTCAGTGAACAAACTCAGACCAGTTGAAGATGGCACTTTTGCCAGTAAAGAGTCGGCATCTGACTTGAATGAGACGGCTGCTCATCCCATGTTACCAGCCATGGACAAGGTTCTCCCCATGACAATATCTGAAGCCCTTGAAACAATTGAGGAGAAGAAGTTGAGGAAGCAATCACACCTCATTGTATATTTTACAGCCTTCATCATGTCCATTGGATTTTCTATAGTGATGACATCAGTCTGGCCGTACCTGAAGCAGGTAACATTGAGTCTACTGGTTGATTGCACTCCTACTTATGCAAGTATGGCAGTAAGAATCAGACTTTGAGATAAATTTTGTACCTTTAGGGATTTATTCAGTAAGTTTCAGCTCAAATAGAAAACTGAGAAAAATACAGATACTTGATGTGTGACAGTTATATATTTTAGCAAATCATTGCAACAAATCTAATTGAGATTTTCAGATTACTTAGATATGGGAGAATATGTAGCCAAGTCAAGATATTAGGTGCAAAATACAGAAGAAAAATTAACCTCACAGGATCTTTAAAATTCATGTGCATATATATACCTATATCAGCTTGAAGCATTATATATAACAGAGCTAAAAATCCATTATGTGATAAATGATAAACTTAAACTTATTGAAACTGAGCCCTTCTTCCCAATTTTATGTTGAATTCTTATTTTTGGAATATAATGTGTAAAATACCTTTGTAATTATCTGTGTAAGATCTTGTCATTGAATTCTTAGTTTGTTTTAGCTCCTTGGTGTGATCTTCCCTTGTTGACAACTACATGGAAGGAAATTAAACTTTTACATTTGCCAGATTAATGTAAGGCCACAACTGGTCACAACTCACAACTTTCTTTTGTCTGTATTTTATTAAAATAAATTCATAAGAACTTTTTACTACGGTATGCATGGAAGAATGGGAGGATGATAATGATAGACAGAGATATGAAAGCATGGCAGAGGTATGATAGAGGAACATGATGTTTTTTAGCCTGGAGTTTTATGTTACCAAAAACAATAACTCTTCCTCTAAATGCTTCATATTATTAAAGTAAACCATGACAATACAGCTTGACAACTCGGCAAGCAAGGTGTTCTATGGCTTGGTGATAGCTGTCAACCCCCTGGGGCAGCTACTCACTGCTCCACTCCTCGGATGGTGGGGTAACCGAGCTGGCTCCAATAGGTGCGTTGTAGGTACCCTTATGTTTTGCAAGCTTCAGCAAGTTCATAAGCTCATTATTTATTTGGTAATTTCATTGGTATATATACATACATTTTTTGTTTTGCATTGTTGGGCAATAAGAGTTTTTTATTTTGAATTAGATCTCAGGTATAATAATTTACATTCCACTCCTACTAGTTAATTTTTATTTGGTGTAAGTACATAATTATTCAAATGTTAGTGAAGAGTAACTATATTTAAATTCTTGGTTCCTGAAATGCTCTTGTTTGTGCAGACCAGCTTTTCTTGCATCTGTATTCTTCTACGTGCTTGGCAACGTGATGTACGGAATGCTGCGCCTCATGCATGGACCTCTCGCTGCATACTCCCTCATGGTGTCACGCTTCGTTGTCGGCATGGGGTCGGGTGAGGGACCTGTGGCTTAATGCTCACATGTGTTTTTGTTCATGCTATACCCATATTGTCATTTATCTATCATTGTCACAGCTGTAAGCAAGACAGGTTTTATATGAATTTTTTGTGGCAATTGGCCTCCCACCCAATGCTTTAAAACTGTCATCAGATGAGGCCCTCCTAATTCAACAAGTTAACTAAAAATGACAACCATCATATTTATCAGAACCATTCAATATACTCAATAATTTTCTCTGTGTGTGTCAAATACATAAATGTGGGTGAGGATTTTCCATATTAATACCAGGCTTTTATCAACATTGCTATTTTATTTCCATTGTGCTGGGTAAATGTGATGAAGATGTTTTCATTACATTGCTGTAAAATGTACGCTAGTGGCCACATAATTTTTTATCTATTGGTAAAAATTTTACATTCCAACTATATTATTTATGACATTCATTATAGCAATCATTATCCAGTCATAACTAAACCAACCAGAATCTCCCCTGAAAATCCTTTTATGCCTTATTCACTGCTTGATCTTATGTGTTGTAATTTCTATGGATTAAACCCAGAATCAGCCGTTATTGACTGTGATTTATCAGATCACTTGATGACATTCTTTTATTTTGAAACTGTGTTTTCAATTGCTCTTCCTAGGAAAAAACTCGCCTTATTAATGATGACACTATTAAAAAATTAAGATAGAAAATGAATAATTATCCTTCTGTATATCTACCGTAACTAAAATTGATGAACATGACTTTGCTATGCTGTCTTGCATGGTCGAACTTCCCAAAATGTACAATATCTTTTCCCATAAAGTTTGTCACGCTTGGAAAACATGGCCCATTTGGGTGACCGCTGAAATAAAGTCTGCCATAAAGAAGAGACATAAATTTCTAAAGCTTTCTTGCACTGATGTAATTTATCGTAGGTCTTACTCTACTTATCGGAATGTATAGATTGCCCTTTTGTAAACAGTTATAAGAAGCAGTACTACTCAACTAAAATGCAGCAGGAGTCAAACGTCTCCAGGATTTTATGTGATGTTGTTAACTCCTTGCTTGTGACGAATCTTATACTCAGAAAGATTGAGTTGTCAAGAAATAACAGGCTTTTGCCTGGCACTAATACTATGGCTACTGAATTCAACAATTGTTATGCCAATGACATAACAAAACATTTTGGTTCTGTGAGAGTTGGTACGACTTTAGGCGTCTCTTTTTGTGAGGCATCCTGCCTCATGTCTTCTACTTCTGCATCGGAAACAAAAAGTTTGTTACGATTATGCAGAGGCAAACGGCTTCATATTGAGTAAATTCAGCCAAGAGTATCATTGGAAGTTGTTGACATTGTAGCGCCAGTTTTAGCCCATATTTTTTAATTTGTGTGTCAACGAAAGTCTACACTGATGTCCTGAAAAGTGCCCTTGTTATACCAATTTTTAAATCTGGCAACTCCAATAATGTGTGCTACATTTTGGCAACTTACATTTTCTTACTAATATTTTCAAAAAAATTCTACACTGTAGATCTACAAATTTTCTTGACACATCCCTTGTATCTGATAATCAATTTGGTTTCCGTAAGGGCACTAACACTGCTATGGCAACAATATGTTCCATAGAGCGCGTTCAAATCACCAATTCGACCAATTACGATTGGAGTGGCACATGTCTTTGTTCTCGGGCCTTAAACGTTTTTATAAATGGTTTCGCCTCTTCTTTTAACATTAACACGTTGACTGCGTATTGGTACATATGCGTACCACGAAATGTGTTTCTCCAGGAGGTGGTGGTACATAATTCAGGTTGCCTAAAATCGGCCAAAATCCGAGAACAGAAAAGGCCAAAAAAGGCCGATAATGCAATGTATACTAGCTTATTTGTAGGTTCCGCTATAAAATTCCCATTTATTTTCTTCTTGCAGTATTTAAAATGTAATTAGGAAGTACCCCTATCATAAATTTTAGCCGGCCAACGCAATTGAGAAAAACTAAATCACGGAATGTGTCCGAAAAAAATGACCATCTGGCAACCCTGCTTAAAAAAAGTACAAAAAATGAAATAATAGTACAAGATGAAGCAATCGTAGTTAACGTGTTAACTGCAAGCTATTTGCTGATGGCGCTGAATTTTATATTTTGAGAAGTACCTACGATGACGCGTGTGATAGTACTACATCGGAGCTGTCAGTGAATTTGTCAAGGTGGCTATTAGAAAACAAGTACGTGGCGCACGCTGATAAAACTAAACTGAAATTTTTTACTCCAAAAACAGTTTCGATTTTTCGGAATTTTACCTTCAATGGAACCATTTTAGATTGGGTGACGATTTTCGGTATCTGGGTGTAATACGAGAGTACAATATTTCTTTTAAAAAACACATTAACTACCTACGTTTGTGAAGGGCTCAGTAAATCCCACTTGGTGCTACATGCTCTCTAATCCCACTGCAGCGTTTTACCTTACACTCATCTAAAACGCCTTTTTATTCTTTATTTTTATCTAAACATTCAAACACAGTAACATTAGACTGTGTATTTCTCAGTAGAATAAAAACATTTGTCACGTTAATTCAAAGGTCGCTGCGATCAATCCTCAGGATGATATGTATTAATAATATCTCGGTTACTCGTACCAACGAATTATATAGGCAGTCGAAAGTCTTATAACTGAAACTGTACAAATTTAAGATTATAAAATTCATGAATATGGCACTTTTTCATGACGCATTTTTTTTAATCTGTATTCGTCCGCCTTGTTCCTCACCATTCCCATAATACCAGAGGCATATGCTTTAATTTACCGCAGGTTCTCTTATCAATCCCATAATCAATTAATAAAATTACGTGCCGCCTTTTTTCGCCTGTCCAACTGTCGCCTGCGAAGTTGTTTAGCTTGTATGGGCATTCACAAGAAATATTTTCTTTTTGTCATTTCTTTGATCTTTTTATTCATTTGTTACGTGTTGTATACTCCTACTTAAAAAGATAAAGATCATAAATTCATTGAAATTTTCTACTATAAGAGGCTTCAGTGCAGTTTGGTTTACAGTTCTCTAATTTGGGTGCAAACTTTTTCTTGTTTGATTCTTCTATACCTGGATTCAGTTTTATTTATTGAGTCAGCTCAGCTCGCAAGGACCTTCATATATGTTGGGATTAATTTGTTATCACCCTAAGCTGCTAATGTGTATTTCATTTAGCTAAAACATGCTGATTTGTCAATGACTTATCCTGGATCTGAGTTTTGTATGTTATGTATTTCCACTGTGGCTAATATCTAAGTTGTCTGTAAGTCCATGTAGCCATGCTGACAACCATCATCAACAAATGGATTTAAAAATGTTCGTTCCAACCCACCTTTCACTTAGAATTGGAAAGCATTTATCGTCTATTTATCTTCATTTACTCTTATCGAGCCATGCCTGTATGGTTTTTGTTTATTGTTTTTATGATTGCTTATGTGAATGTTTAACTGTGGGTCCTGATGGTTACAGCAAACATAGCCGTGTGTCGGTCTTACTTGTCGGCTTCCACAACCCTGGCAGAACGCAGCTCTGCTATGGGCTTCGTTTCTGCTGCCCAATCTATCGGTCTTATCATTGGCCCTGGTAAGTTGTGCTTTGTTCTTGTTATCTCCAAGCTATTGAGTTTGGAGATTGTTCTTTTTTCATTTTTATGAAGATTTATCAATTTTTTCTCATGATTCTATTGATCTTAAGTGCAAGGTAGTTATCTGTTATGCCATGTCCCTACTTGCCTGGTTCGTTTTTGTAAAAGAATATCCACATAAACACACCTTATGATGCATTGTGTGGGATCAATGATAATTATAATCTATGAACGATAAGGACAACGATGTGTATTCTACTAGCCTAAGTAGTAATAGTGACTTTTTTGTCCTTTGTTGTGTGGTGACTTCATTAGACATGGGCTGTGTCTTGACTGCTTGTTTTGGGTGTATTGCACTGTGCCAAGTGTACGACATGCCCTTTGCATGTACCCGGCACACATGTACCACGTGTACAGCATGCCCTGTACACGAGGGGTGACTAAACTGCCACGGTTCCCTTACCGCAGCCATCCAGACGGCCCTGGCGGTAGCCATCCCTGTAGCCGCGCCTGCCCACAATGCGACCTCGTCAGACGTGGCGCCCGCACTGCCGCTGTGGGACCTCTACACCGCAGCGGGCTGGATTGCCGCGCTGCTCGGCCTCATCAACTTCGTGCTTTTTATGCCGTGCATATACAAGGCAGGCGCTGTTCTTGTGGTCCCGGCCATGGTGGTCCCGGCCCTCGTGGTCCAGGCCCTCGCGGTCCCGGTCCTCGTGGTCCCGGTCCTCGTGGTCCTGGTCCTCGTGGTCCCGGTCCTCGTGGTCCCGGCCCTCGTGGTCCCGGCCCTCGTGGTCCCGGCCCTCTTGGTCCCGGTCCTCGTGGTCCCGGCCCTCGTAGTCAAGATGTTGTAGTTACTTATGTTGTGTCTGTTGCTCAAAACGCTGAAATAAAAAAACAAGAAAGATGTTGGCGTGGTAATGAAGCTTCTGGAACACGGTCATGTTGGGGAATATGGTTCTATTGATGCTGATGTTACGTCTTCATTTCATATTGTTGGGTATAAGTGATAGCCTGAACAACAGGTACTGATTATCTTGGTTTTTCAGGAGATGAACATCGCCGCGCGTGAAGCCCAGATGATGAAGGACCGGCTTCAGAATTCCGCCCTGGACTACCCAAAGCCTGACTTGTGGGCGGTATTCGTGGTGCTCCTCAACTTCTTCTTCGTGTTGTTCCTGTACGTCCTGCTCGAGACAATTGTCGTGCCAATGAGTAAAGACTTGTATGGATGGTCTTCAGAATTTGCCATAAAGGTGGTTGGTATAGGTCTGAGCATCGTCGGAATAGTTGCCTTCTTTATGTTCTTTGTGACGACCATCTTGTGCAAGTACTTTGATGAGAGGAAGATCTATATTGGCGTTGGTCTCGTGCCTCTCGTGCTCGCTATGATCATCCACTTCCCCATGGGGAGCAATTACCCTCTCATGCAGAACTGCACCGCCCTCAACCAATCTAACATCGCAGTCGATTTATTGGACTCATCGCCCAGCCCTCTGGACTCCCTGGCTACTACCGAGACGCTCCTACGGAACCGCAGGTACATCGACGGCAGCAGATTTTCTGTTGAAACCGGCAATGGAAAAATTAGTTTCCTCACTGCGGTACCTGACGAACGATTTATTCACAACACGAGTAAAGTACGCAGTGTAATTACTCATGACAGTAATAGTAGCGCCAAGAAAAATACCAACAAGAAGGGTTTTATTTTCTCTTACCTGAAGACGTACGGGTACACGGTGAGTCGTGTTCGACGTGCCGCTCTGATCGACGACGAGGACGGTTGTGACGCCGTTGGCTGCCCCGTAAGCCAGCAGTGGTGCCTCTACACTCCCATTGTGGAGATCCCGCAGTTGGTCATTGCGAATGTGATTGGGGTGATCGGCTACCCCGCCGCCTTCTCGCTCTCTAGTTCCATCTTCTCCAAAATGATCGGCCCTAAAAGCCAGGGCATCTGGATGGGACTGATGACAAGCACTGGCAGCTTGTCGAGAATGACTGGCCCCATCTTCGTCACCTGGATTTATTCCAGCCACGGCACGCGCTGGACGTTCGGTGTTCTGGCCGTGGTTCTCGCCGGCACTGTGGTCTTATCGCTCATTTTCTATAAGCGCTTGGTTCCCATGGACATCAACAAGAACCTGCCGATTGCCTCTGTTAACACCGTGTCTTGATGGAAAATTCGTCCTAAAACTTTGTATAATGTTCAGTTTTTGATGTACTTAGTATTCGAGCTGCAAGCTGTGGTTGTTCTGTACATTGTTTCTCGGATTTCTGTTTTCTGTTCTTTCCGCTTCTTGTTGGTACTGTTGAACAATGGACCGCCCTGGCTGAACAACTAATAAGGCAGATCTGATGGCATCTTATACAGTGCCGCAAGTCTGGCCAAGTGTCATCAGATTAATTTGAAATTTTTTTTGCAAATTTTATAATCAGAGTATTCCCGTCCAAATAACCAATAAACGAAATTACTTTCCAGCGTACGGCTCTTCAGTCCCATGGATAATGAAAAATTCAATTGCCTGCTTGTCAGGTTGATGATTTTGTTCTGACTCCAGTGACTTGTTCAGCAAAAATTTATTTGTTTATAGAATAACTTGTTAGAGTTTCCCCTCAGTTGTCGAAGTGTTTCCTGACGCTGCGATCACTGAGTTGTTGGTCTCGCGTCATTGTCGCAATCACACGACGGTTGTGAGCTATTTACCTACGCACTACTCGTCTGTCATGTGACGTCACAAACTAATAAGGACCCTTCAGTCGCGCATAATTTTCATAAAAGAATACTTCTTTCTTTTTGAGGATCTCAAGAAATTATAATTCATGGTTTCTTGTTGCAAAATCATCGAAATTGAACTTCATGCAGCGAAAGTGCTTCCTCCATATTTTTCTAGCGCTATAGCGTTGTTTATCTTCTCCATAATTTAACCTTCATGAAGCATTTGAATAAATTGTTAATATTCATTATGTACACTGAATAAAGTGTGGATGTAGTTTTCAGCTAAACTGCAGGACTAAGCAATGCCCGCGTTTTATAATGAAGCTCTCTGCAGACTGCCAGCTACACCTCTTCCTACACCTTTCTAAGAATATGATAAAAATGTCTATTTTTGATAAATAAATTCCATGAATAAACAACCCTTCTAATCATAAATTGACTCACTAGATGAATATATGTGATAAACGTTATTCTAGGATTGACTTCGATTATAGGTCTAATTTTCTTATACTATCATTCATTACGAAGATAAATTTATTGGTGATATAATTTGTATTGATTTAGTATTTATCAAAGTCATCGGCTGGCCAACACATGCAATGCCGTATCTATGGAGGATTTTTGTACTTAGGTTTGAGCTTGTTAGGTTTGAGCTTTGGAAGGCTGCTAGGAAAATTGTCTTGAGCTACTCGTATATAGGTAGTTACATGAAATTGTCTACATTTATTGCTTAGATTATACTTGTTTGTTAAATGTTGAACTACACGACAAATTGACTGGAGGCTGGAGGATGTAAGTCGTCATTTCTGTAGAGTATATGAGATATGAACCATATTAAAGCGTTTGATATAACGAGCAATATGAGCCAGTTGAAGCGTTTCTCATTACTGCAAGTGTCTAAACATAAAGCCTTGAGTAACACAAAATTAGTCGGCTGAGCAGCTAAGTCTTGAAGCTTTTTTTTTTTTTTTTGTGCAATCATAGCCTCTTTTTCTCGATATGTCGCATGCGTGATCGACTCCATGTTGATAACTGGTTTATGTTGTACTAAGAGTGAATCATTGCGTGAATTGCAGGAAGTATTTTTTCATCATGGAAAAGATTATGAGATCATTTGCACATGCTGCAGTCTCGGTTTTTCTTTTGTCTCCTTTACAACCTGTAGGTGTTTAACTAAAGTCAATAATTCACTATAACTTGCATGTACAGGACGAGTTCTTGTCTAGTTGGGCATTAAGAAGTTACATGCCAAGTCTTTCAGTAATATACCGTACATCTGTGACTTCTATTAGTGCCTGTGCGTACATGTTTTAAGATGTCAAAACCCTGCATAGCTTCTGTCTGCTCAGTAGTGCTTGCATTTTTTATATAACTTTTCCCGTACCGAGTGTTCGTTATCTATGTCAGCAGCAACCTAGCAATAACGATGTTCGCGAGTTGTGGTTATATTTCTCTGAATTTATACGGAGTTTTGACAAAGTATACGCTCTTTAAACTTATTCGCTACTTCTTCTGTGTTCTGTGGTCTCAAAATTTTATTATCTCTATTGTTCACTTAGATTTCGACTGTTCTCCTGAATTTTTTAATTGGCCTTCCTTTCTTGAATCGCTATAACTTCAATGTATTAAATGACCTCACTGCTGTCATTATCGTAAGCTCTCATACTTAATTACATGTTAGTACGATCTGAGATTTGTTGTATTCTCTCATATTATTTTATGTCGACGTACATCTCCTTGACATATTCTTAACGAGTATTTTAAGGAAAATAAATAAATATAAAAAATAAAAGATAAATAAAATATGAAATAAATAAATAAATATGAAATAAAATTTAAATTTTAAAATAAAACAGAAATTGAATATTCCAAGATATAATAAAAATATTACAAAGCACAATGTTTGTGTGCCTGTAGTTTGCATTAGTTGCGTGCGCCACATTCCCACATCCCTGTATCGGGCTGCTGTAGGCGCAAATATGTGAACCTACACTAAATTTGATAAATCTCTCACTAGTTTATACTTACCGAGCGTTCAACTATTCATGTATGGCCTCATGTATACGCGTAGAGTTCATTGTAGTAGGCCAGTAGATTCTGTAGTTGTTTTTTCGCCTATTATTTTTTTGCAGTACTTATGTAACCATATTAGCTAATGTTTTACGATATATACTCATTTGATATTGTTGATGGCAGATAAGTCTGTTCATTTATGGTACGGAATGATTAAAGGGCTTCGTGATATGTCATCTCATTTTAGCAATGACGTTTGAATGCATGCGCCTCGATTGTCTTCAAGTCTTCCGCCTTGTGTTGGCGAGTAGCTGGCTTCGATGAGGTAGTGGAGACAGCACTCTTATGTTTTTTGCTCAAACGTATTGTACTATGAAGTAGTTTACCCGAATTGCATATAGTTTATTTGTTAGCGGTTGTTTGAGTTCGCGTATTATTATTTCACAAAGTAATTATTCAGCTCATGATTAATTCATCTTTAACCATCCTTTGTATTATTTCATGGCATTGAATTGTCAGTTTTATCAGAATATTTAATGTATCAAGTTAATGATTTCTGTTTAGCCAGCCGCGAATTGTTTTTTAACTGAGCGAGACTTTATCTCAGTAGGCCCAAGGTTCATCGGCCTAATAGTGTAAGTTTTAGTATTCGTTTAGATTAAAAAAGAAAGGTTCGTTGTTGGTTCAGTTTTTTTGGTATAAACATTATGATTGGCTTGTGACTGACCCAGTTTTTTTAATAACGATTCATTTGCCGGACTTATATTATTGTTAGACATTCCATTAGATGCATTCAGATATGCTCGATGGTTTGCAGTGGTGTTGTTTGTCAGCCGACAGGCTGATTGAAATTGAACCAATATACTAAGTTCGATGATAGTTCTATCAAAGTAAACATTCGGTATTCGTACGAATCTCAATTGAAGACACTAGATTTGATAAGTACTAGCAAATTATTTATATATATTCTCCATCATCCTGTGCTGGTTTAATGTCCCAGTCTCTCTGCTTCTCTCCCTCCTGCCAGTGACATGTGCTCCCTGTTGTTGTTGCCGCGTGTCGAGCGCTGGTGTCGTACGTCTCCGCTGTTGCTTTCTTGCCCTCCTGGGCCTATACTTATAAAAAGTTAAGAGATCGTAAGTTCATCAGCCAATCATTTACGGCCTTTAAAGCCAAATCCACCAATCATAGACAAGAAAATAGAGCGTAAGTACTTACGTTCAATTGGCGAGTTTTGAAAGTATGGCACCAGTGAGTTCCTTCAGTACAGGACCTTGCGCAACTCCTTGTGGGTGAACTGCCCGTGATAGTTCAGTAATAATTCTCAGTGGCTTAAATTCCGTCTTTATATTAAACTTATTAAACTCGACGGTGTGTCGGGTAAAAAGCTGTTGTAAAGCTGGTGTAATTATAGTTTTCTTTATTTTAATGCTTATTCGGAAATTTTGCTCATCTGTCCATGACGCCGATCGAGGTACTCAGATGGGAACTTATTAGATTTGGAACTAACCTCTGTCCATTTCTGCCACATATTTAGGAATTACGATGAAACTGAGAGATGAAATTAATTTAAGTAGATTAAGTTCTCTAGCCGATTCGGAGTAACTCGTCGATTATTCAGGTTGAACAGGACTTTTTGTTTCTGTCATTACTGATAAAAGACGTTGGTCTTGCACCTTCTGAGAAGACGACTGTACAGTCTACTGTCAATGTGTGTAATCTGATTCACTGAAGTTTAATTTGAGCTGTCCATGAAAAGCTCTATAGATTACCTTCATCGGATGACGTCTTAAATCACGTAAATAAGCTCCATTAATTGTCTCAATGTTTCTGTGGAGAGAACGACTTTTAATTTCTTTCCTCAAGTTCTGTATTTTTTGTGTTACGTTCCTAGCACTGGAAAAGCTATTGTTTGTAAGAACCTTTATCCTGCGAACATAATCACCTAAGAGAGGCATTGAATATACATCGTTCTCTTTCCTCTTGATATAGTGTTTGAATATAATTAAAAGCCCAGTTTTTGTCTGGCATTCTACGGAGGCCTAATTTCGGTTTTGACTCTGAGCAGCGACTCTCCCCTTGTTCAAGGCCTCTTTTAAGTCTTCATTTTGTCTCCTGAAATTATTTGCTGTATATTTCCTGTGAAGTTTCTCTACTATCTCTAAATTCACTAATGTGATGGATTTTTCCTATCAGTGTGTTACAAATTGATTCAACTCTCAATCATCGATCGCATTTTGAGTCTCCAAAATAAGCGGCATGAAAAGTCGGCCTTTGCGTCGATTGCCACATCCTAAGATATTTACTTTGACGACTTTGTATTGTTGTTGCTTCATAGTTGATCTATATACATGAGAGTAGATATGAATGTCGCACAATAAACGATATTATGTTCTCACAGTTTCATGTCTTCACCTTGCATCCACTATTCCTGTGCGGTGTTGCATAATAGGTTAACTGAGTCCCAAGTTAATTGATAGAGTTAATCATACGTCCAAGCTCGCTTGTTGACTGCATGAAGTGAACCCGCTGGAAAAGATGTCCTGACTCGATGAAATTTCAAAAGTCAATCTCTCTCTGTGCTTGAGATAACCAGAAACGTGGTCGTATTTAATGAGTGCTTCCCGGATCACCTAACTCTTCTCAGTATCTAACGCAATCACTCACTTTCGGTTTAGGTTTTCTTTTAATTAGAAAATAGATTCGGGATGAAAAATTGGATATTAAATAGAAAATACACTTTATTTCAAGTAGGTATCACATGCAACACATTAAGCTAGCTTAACAAAAAAGTTGGAAAGGAACGAGGCTCGGGACGGGGCCGTGGACTTCACTGCGACATGCGACCAACGCCTTGTGCATTGCGTCGCGCTCAGTCCAGGCGAGAAGCAGGGCTGAGAGCAGGGGTTACTTGGGGCAGCAGCTGTAGGGGTTAATTGGGGCAGCAGCTGTAGCGGTTACTTAGGGCAGCAGCTGCAGGTGTTACAGCTGTAGGGGTTACTTAGAGCAGCAGCTGCAGCGGTTACTTAGGGCAGCAGGTGCAGGTATTACAGCTGTAGGTGTTACTTAGGGCAGCAGCTGCAGGGAGAGGTGCAGTTGCCGGCGCAGGCCTCCTTGGTCGCACAGCCGCAGCTCTCTTTGCCTGCACACAAGAACCCGGTCAGGCTACAGCTACAGCATAGAGGCCTCGGCTACACTATACAGACTACAGCGTAGAGGCCTCAGCTACACTATGTAGACTACATCAACATAATTTCGATCTCAGCTACACTATACAGGCTTCAGTAAAGAGGTCTCACAGTTTACACAGGTTATTGTGAATGTTACGCTTCTTCACTAGGAGCTGTGAACAATGATGGGAGGGAGCTGACTTCTCTCGTAAACATACTGCTTCCGATGTCTCTTGATCAAAGAAAAGTAATGCTTCTGTTGTGAAAATAAGTGTTTTGCCATGTCCTTTCTCTCCCTACTCTAGTTATTTCACAATTTTTATTTGCACAATATCACAATATATTATTATATCACAATAACCATAACATCATTTAAGCGGCACTCACATTTGTCGCACTTGGAGCGGCAGTCGCAGTCTTTGCAGTCCGTGCACTTGCTGGAGCAAACCTCCTCGGGACACGGGCACGACTCTGCTTAAGCAACGAACAATGTACAACATGCCGCTGTATACGGCATTAAGCAATGAACAATGTACAACCTGCCGCTGTACACGGCATTAAGCAATGTACATTGTACAACCTGCTGCTGTACACGGCATTAAGCAATGTACAACCCATGGCACAGATGCACACGACAGGCACGCAGCACACGACTTCACCGAGCTCAGTCAGAAGGCAATGCATCAAGAAAATAAACTTCTGCATTATTATCACCTCTTCCCTCCCACAACTCCTGTAATCTTTGTACGCGTCCTTTGAAACAAATCAATGTTTTTTCGTCGTCAAAACCTAGAAATTGTAGAAATTGTTCAAAGTTTTTCTTCTGTGCCGGATGAAATATATTATTCGAAGATAAGAGGATATATTCACCTTCCTTTAATAGTGTTTACTCCAGGTAAAAAATGTCGGTTACTATTAACAAATAGAAGTCGGGTGTCACACTCACCTTGGCAGCAAGGCTTGGGCATGATGACGGTGTTGATAGTTCAGTAGAAGGCGCGTGCGTACTCGGCTGAGTTCGAGGAGTTAATGTAGATTTTCTCGCACGCTACCGCTTATATAGCCTGGCTTAACAACGGCTGTGGGGCATTCATTGGTTCCGTGAGCAAAACTCCGCGTCAGAAATGAAGTGACCATGAGAAGTTCTCGGCTAAATATAAGTAATTTATGTGATCTTTGCATAAAGGATGGGATTTACTCAACCTTGCCCTGGATGTCGGTGATACATTATATAAATAATTCCCATAGTAATGCCTGTAGAAAACTTTTCATAGAGGTACAAGGTCTAGTCGTGAGCATTTCATGTGCAGCTATTGAAGGATAAATCGGTTATGTTCTAATCATCAATATAATACAGAATGTAAACACGTGAAAAGGCCAAATGCGCATAGCGCTAGAATTGTTTAATAAACATTTGGCGCTGAGTTGATAACTCTATAAAAGTGTTCAATGTTTACAATTTACATCGTTGGGAAGCTCGTTGCTCCATCGCTACAACAATTATCAATAAAATAAAGCTTATTCGAGGAAATCGTGTTCAAAATGAAGCGTGCATTTTTATTTCAACCATTGTTATTTTCAGTCTCTCATTAAGAACGCGACTTTCCAGGGTAATATTTTTTAATGTATGTGTTCCTCAAAACGTACGAGATATCAATAAATAAATAAAATAGAATTACAAGTTGAATTCTACCTCATTATCTATCACATAAAATTTATCTTCATTTGAATTAGACAATAACATATACTAGGCCTCTTAAAAACACGCACAAAGGTTTTACATGAATTTTCTGTCACTTTTTACACGAATTTTAACTACGTTTCCTATTTACTGAGCTACAATACGGAATTACTATATGCAGCGCGACTACATATTACACGCGCTAGTCTATCCACCCTTACTAGTCAGCATTACTGTTAGGTCTATCTGCTCTAGGTAGTGAGAGTGATGTATGGATGTATGTGATGTATGAATGTATGTTATGTATGTATGTTATGTATGAATGTATGTCATGTATGTATGTATGAATGTATGTATGTTATGTATGTTTGGTGTGGGGGTGGGTGCGCTGCGGTGTGAATGGACAACGTAAAAACTTATTTACACTTCACTCAATGTTTCACGATGTTTGTCCATTTCTTAATGTGGCTTCCATGATTCCTTAATAAATCTAAGTTTTTTAGTTGATCATTTTTCAACTGGTAGGAGTTGTTACAAACTCGTTGGTTATTTACAACTGAATGGGCAAGTTCAAATGAAATAAAAAATATTACTCTATGCAAATTTCATCCAATTCGAAGAAAATAACTAGAAATTCAATTTGAACCGTAAAAACACTATACACGACGTAAGGAATTAGCATGAAATCGTAGGCCAACAGACTCACCTTTCTTTGACGAGTTATTGTATATTTGAGATTTAAATATAATACCTACGATTATCGTGCAGCTTAAGAGTCACTGCATAAGTACTGCGCTCTGGGTCAACATGATTAAAAATAGTCTTAAAGTTAAAAGTTCGTGGGCGTTCATGCATTACATTTCTCGGACTTGAATAGTGAGATTATATTTGTTGTTATTTCCATGATTAGATAACAGAACAAAACAACGCTAATACTCACGTAGATACAAGATCTAGAAAATTCGTGACCGCGGTGTCGTGAGCAGTGAGCACAACGCTGAGCTGCTCACGAAACCTCGTCCTGTCAGCTGCAGCTAGCTGCGGCACCGGTGCCGGGTATATAAGCAGGGTCCGCGCTGTCACTTCACAGAAAAAGACTAACTTGCATCAGAAGTTTACGTAGTCCTGCCTCCATCTACCACCACCACCATGCCTAAGCCTTGCTGCCAAGGTAAGAAGGATCTAGCAAGTAACATTGGAAATACCGGACAATGTTTTTATATAGTCTTCTATATTATGCAGTAACGGAGGACGATTGAAGTTTTTAGTCTTTGAAGGAAATGGATAGTCTGTCAGAAACGCACGATAATATAAATTTTCGTTAAATATTTCAGTTTTGTTCGCCCAACACGAGAATTTCTGTCTGTGTAGTCGTGTACTGCGTGCCTTCCGTGTGTACAGCAGCAGGTTGTACATTGTTTAATGTCGTGTACAGCAGCAGGTTGTACATTGCTTAATGTCGTGTACAGCAGCATATTGTACAGTGTACGTTGTTTAACTGGTCACATGTGCCCGTGTCCCGAGGAGGTTTGCTCCAGCAAGTGCACGGACTGCAAAGACTGCGACTGCCGCTCCAAGTGCGACAAATGTGAGTGCCGCTTAAACGATGTTATTTTCATTGTGATAAAATAATGTAATGTGATATTGTGCGAATTTAGATTGTGAAATAACTGGATAAGGGAGATAAACATCCTGGCGAATCACTCATTTTCACAACAGAAGCATTTCTTTAATTTCCTTGATCAAGAGACATTGGGATGTATACAGTTTGTTTATGAGAGAAGTACAGCTCCCTCCCATCATTATTCACAGCGCCTATATAGTGAAGAAGCGTAACATTCACAATAGCCTGTGTATAATGTGAGACCTCTTTACTGAAGCCTGTATAGTGTAGCTGAGATCGAAATTATGTTGATGTAGTCTGTATAGTGTAGCCGAGGCCTCTATGCTGTAGCTGTAGTCTATGTAGTGTAGCTGGGGCCTTTAAACTGTAGCTGTAGCCTGACCGGGTCTGTTGTGTGCAGGCAAGGAAAGCTGCGGGTGCGCAACCAAGGAGGCGTGCGCCGGCAACTGCACCTCTCCCTGCAGCTGCTGCCCTAAGTAACACCTACAGCTGTAACACCTGCAGCTGCTGCCCTAAGTAACCCCTGCAGCTGTAACACCTGCAGCTGCTGCCCTAAGTAACACCTGCATCTGCTGCCCTAAGTAACCCCTGCTCCCAACGCTGCTTCTCGCCCGGACTGAGAGCGACGCAGTGTTGTCCGCGGTCCCGTACCGAAGCCTCGTTCCTTCCCAACCTTTTTGTTAAGTTAGCTTAATGTGTTGCATGTGATACCTAATTGAAATAAAGTGTATTTTCTATTTAAAATCAAATTTTTCATCCCGAATCAATTTTCTAGTTACAAGAAAACATAAACTGAAAGTGAGAGATTGCGTTAGATACTGAACAGAGATAGGTGATCCGGGAAGCACTCATTAAATACGACCAAGTTTCAGGTTATCTCAAGCACAAAGAGTTTGACTTTTTGAAATTTCTTTGAGTCAGGACATCCTTTGCAGCGGGTTCACTTCATGCAGTCAACAAGCGAGCTTGGGCGTATGATTAACTCAATCAACTTGGGACTCAGTTAAGCTATTATGCAACAACGCACAGATATAGTGGACGTAAGGTGAAAGACACGAGACTGTGAGAACATAATATCGTTTATTGTGCGACATTCATATCTACTCTCATGTATATAGATCAATTAAGAAGCAACAACAATACTAAGTCGGCAACGTAAATATCATAGGATGTGGCAATCGACGCTAAAGCTGACTTTTCAAGCCGCTTATCAAAATGTGAACGATGAATGAGAGTTTAGTTAATTTACATCCCACTGATAGGAAAAAAAACATCACATTGGAAAATTGACAGAAAGTAGTAAGACTTCACAATGAATATACAGCGAAGAATTCCAAAAAATGAAGACTTTTAAAAGAGGCCTTGAAGTGAAGTCGCTGCTCACAGTCAAAACCAAGATTAGGCTTCGGTAGAATGCCAGACAAAAAACTGGGCTTTTAATTATATTCAAACACTCGATCATGAGGAGGAAGAACGATGCTTATTCAATATCTCTCTTAGGTGATTATGTTCGCAGGATAACGGTTCTTAAAAAATATTCACCCAAAGCTCTTCCAATGCTGGGAACGCAACACAAAAATTACAGAACTTGACGATAAAAATTAAAGTCTGTCTCTCCACAGAAACATTGAGACAATTAATGGAGGTTATTTACGTGATTTAAGACGTCATCCGATGAAGGTAATCTATAGAGCCGTTCATGGACCGCTGAAATTACATTTTAGTGAATCAAATTACCATCATCGACAGCAGACTGTACAGTCGTCTTCTCAGAAGGTGCAAGATCAACGTCTTTTTATCAACAATAATCAGAAACATTAAATCCTGTTCAACCTGAACAATCAACGAGTTACTCCGCATCGCCTTGAAAATTTAGTCCAATAAAATTAATATCATCTCTCAGTTTCATCGTATTTCCTGAATATGTGGCAAATATGGACAGAGCTTAGCTCCTATCTATAATAAGTTCCCATCCGAGTTCTTCGATGGCGTCATGGACAGATGAGCAAAATTTTCGAATAAACATTAAAATAAAGAAAACTATAATTATACCAACTTTATAACCGCTTTTGGCCTGACAAACCGTCGAGTTACACATAAAGACGGAATTTAAGCCACTGAGAATTATTACTGAACTATCACGGGCTGTTCACCCACAAGGAGTAGCGCCAGGTCCTGTACCGAAGGAACTCCCTGGCGCCGTACTTTCAAAACTCGCTAAGTGAACGTAAGTACTTACGCTCTATTTTCTTGTCTATGATTGGTGGATTTGGCTTGAAAGGCCCTCAATGATTGGCTGATGAACTTACGATCTCTTAACTTTTTTTATAAGTATAGGCCCAGGAGGGCAAGAAAGCAACAGCGGAGACGTACACCAGCGCTCGACACGCGGCAACAACAACAGGGAGCACATGTCACTGGCAGGAGAGAGAGAAGCAGAGAGACTGGGACATTACATCAGCACAGGATGATGGAAAATATATATATATAATTTGCTAGTACCTATCAAATCTAGTGTCTTCAACTGAGATTCGTACGAATACGAGGGGGCGATAGAACTATCATCGAACATTGTATATTGGTGACAATTTCAATCAGCCTGTCGGCTGACAAACGACACCACTGCAAACCATCGAGCATTCCTGCATGCATTTAATGGAATGTCTAACAATAATATAAGTCCGGCAAACTAATCGCTACTAAAAAACTTGGTCAGTCACAAGCCAATCAATAATGTTTATATAAAAAACTGAACCAACAACGAACCTCTTTTTCTGCATGTATACGAATCTAGGCTAGTTAACATAAAAAACTATAGCTAACTAAAAACCGAATTGAAAGTCACGTTGTTTTCAATATCTGAATATACTCCAGAGGGTTCGATCACTTCACTTATTTACCCATAGCCATTATTTTAAACTTCTGATTCCAGAAATCAGTTTAAAGCTCAGGAACAAAATGCACAGAAATTGGGACTATGAATTTTTCTTCTCACGAAGTTATAATAGATTGGAAAATTTATCAAAAATTCCGTCCTCTAGTCCGAGGACCAATAAAATTTCGGCTGCTTGGATATCTACGGCGATTTTATACAAACTCTACGAAGTTCATCTGACGTGTTCGGGGATAAATTATATATGGGCTTTGAAAATTCACGTTATCCTGAATCCTGTTATCCTAAAGTCTTGTCTTTCCAAACACCATGATTGGCCAAAATTACGCATCTGTTCAATTATTTCGCAACTAACTACCGTCACCCCTCAGGGGGGACTTCTGACGGGTATCTGTGCTCGTCAGAAGTCCTATGAGATTTCACGCTCCTAGGGGGATTGTTCCTGAGCGCCCCACCGCTGAGCCCGCGTTGTCTGACTGCAGGTCTCAGTTGTGGGTTTAAGTTATTATGTAGGTAATATTATTACTACCTTATATTTCCCTTTTCTGTCTTTCTCGTGCGGGCGGCCGACGTCCCGTGTAAACGACCTCTTGTTCGAGTGTCTTCGTTTCTGTTGCTTTTCACCTGTCCCTCCTTGTCACTTCGTCTCTTTGAGATGCTAACGCTGCTTCTCTCGCGCCAGCTTCGGCGGGCTGGACATTTGAGACCTTCCGCCCCTTGTGGGTGATGATTGACTTGAGATTTTGAATAATTGAGATCTTCCGCCTTGCTGGCGATGTTATGTTTTGACCTCTGGTGCGAAATAGCATGATAGCTGAAACGATAGTAAACCATCATACTACTACTACTAACTACCGTCATTTTAAAGAACGTCCGTTCAAACCAATATCTAGAGTGGAACTCCTTCATTTGGTTCCTGTTTTAACAATCGAATAGAATATTAATTGTTTATCATCGAAAGTTTTACGTATCAAATTAAAACTCTCATTTCCATTTCATAATGCAATCTTTTCTCTCCCTTTAAATGTCCTATGAGTTAGTCACTCTGAATTCAGTTTCAAGACCGAGGTAATATTCCGACGCGATAAGTATCCTAGATACGCGCCTCTTACAGCCCCTTATGCTCATAGTTCAAGCAACATAAGCCCTTAATCATAGACAAATCTCTGTACGTTCTCGAAACTTTCGTGTTTGTTCGATTCGATGCCCTTCTTACGGAGAACTTATATTGAGAAATGAGGGCTTTGTGCTAGAGCATTATTTTAAAAAGCGGTTTTGCCGACTTGTTCTTCAAGAAACTCCGCAAATCAGAATTATTTCAGGAACTTTCCAACAGTTCGAGTATTTCTTTGTTTTTCTTTGTTTGTTGAAGGAAAAATATGATACCCAAAAGATGTTACATTTAATAAAATGAATAACGTATCACAGGCATCACAAAAAAATAACATTTCGACTGCACGTAAATGAGAGACGTAGGCCAACTCGATCCAGGGCGCTGAGTAACAACGAGAAGCGGCGTGAGCAGGTGTTACTTAGGGCAGCAGCTGCAGGTGTTACAGCTGCAGGTGTTACTTGGGGCGGCAGCTCAGCAGCTGCAGGTGTTATAGCTGTAGGGGTTACTTAGGGCAGCAGCTGCAGGTGTTACAGCTGCAGTTGTTACTTAGGGCAGCAGCTGCAGGGAGAGGTGCAGTTGCCGGCGCACGCCTCCTTGGTCGCACACCCGCAGCTCTCTTTGCCTGCACACAGAGGGCGGCAAACGGTCATCTACAATATACAGCTCCAGTATACAGCTCCAGTATGCAGCTCCAGTATACAGCTCCAGTATACAGCTCCAGTATACAGCTCCAGTATACAGTAAAGTATGCAGGCTTCTGCTACAGTTTAGTCCCTCAGCTACAGTATACAGGCTACAGTGAATGTTACGCTGCTTCAATGCCTACAGTAAATTACGAGTTAACAAGCTGCCCTTCCCTTAAACATATCCCGTTTCCGATATATCACCAGTAAAGAAAAATAAAGCTTGGAAATGGAAGCATTGCCAGCACCCATACATATTCGAGCAGGACGTTTCTCTCCCTAGTCCAGTTATTTCACAATCGTAATTTGCACAATATCACAATATATTATTAATTTTATATCACAATGAACATAACATCTTTTAAGCGGCACTCACATTTGTCGCACTTGGAGCGGCAGTCGCAGTCTTTGCAGTCCGTGCACTTGCTGGAGCAAACCTCCTCGGGACACGGGCACGACTCTGCGGCACACGTCACCAGTTAAGCAACGTACAATGTACAATCTGCTGCTGTACACGACATTAATAATGTACATAACCTGCTACTGTACACGACATTAAGCAACGAACAATGTACAACATGCCGCTGTATACGGCATTAAGCAATGAACAATGTACAACCTGCCGCTGTACACGGCATTAAGCAATGTACATTGTACAACCTGCTGCTGTACACGGCATTAAGCAATGTACAACCCATGGCACAGATGCACACGACAGGCACGCAGCACACGACTTCACCGAGCTCAGTCAGAAGGCAATGCATCAAGAAAATAAACTTCTGCATTATTATCACCTCTTCCCTCCCACAACTCCTGTAATCTTTGTACGCGTCCTTTGAAACAAATCAATGTTTTTTCGTCGTCAAAACCTAGAAATTGTAGAAATTGTTCAAAGTTTTTCTTCTGTGCCGGATGAAATATATTATTCGAAGATAAGAGGATATATTCACCTTCCTTTAATAGTGTTTACTTCAGGTAAAAAATGTCGGTTACTATTAAGAAATAGAAGTCGGGTGTCACACTCACCTTGGCAGCAAGGCTTGGGCATGATGAC